TTGAGTTCTCTCCAGCGTTGGAAAGCTGATCCGATATTTACACGGGTCCTACTTCTTGCCTTAAGCCTTCTTTTGTTCCGCAGACGTTTTCCTCTTTTGTTTTTTATCCGCCATCTCTATCTTTCTGTCACTCGGCTCGACTAATGTCGATCCCGTGCACTGAACGCTCTCTCCTCCACATCATGAGTAGACACGCCCCTTACGTCCCGAATCAGTTTTCTAAAGCGTTTTTGAAAAATCGCTTACCCCACCTTTAATGATCATTAGATTTATTTGTGTTTTTAAAAGAGCGAAAGAGAACTTGTGCTGTTCTGTGCATGCGCTCTGACACAGAACAGAACAATGACAAGTAAAGTGAACTTTTAGCTTAAGGTGCATGACTAAATTGTCAAATACACGCAAAAATGTGTCAAAATGCGGCACTTGGTGATTATTCATGTAAACCCTCGTCTGTTATGTCTTAAGTGAACGTAAATAGTTGAGAATGAAAACAGTGTGTAAGTGAAAACAGTGTTTACAGAAATGTGTAACAGTAAATTGGATCCGTGCAGCTCTTAAAGTGGCAGCGGGCTATATTCCTGCTGCCGACTGTGTGCTTAATATTAATCAAACAACAAAAACAAAGAGAAAACGACTCACTGCTCTTGACTGAAGGACTTCTATAGCTTTAATAAGAAATAAAGCAAATTTAATTCTTACAGTGAAGACTATGCTGTTTTATTTTACATTTGATTTATTCAATTTCTTTAGTTAGCTAAATACTTTAGACTTGCATAAAAAAACTTAAAGCACTGTTTGTTTAATTTGTATATTTTTTCTATTGTATTTGACCTTTGCTTTTTGTTTTTATTGTATTACTGACTGTTTATTTATTTTTCAATCATTTGAGGGCTTTTTTTTTTTTTTTACTTATATAATTTTCCCTAGTATTCTGCTGTGGTATTGAGAATTGTGCAATTTTGCTGGTATCTAAAATGTAGATGTCATTGCGACCTTATTTACAGAAAATGTATATTTGATATATATATTGCTATCTTTAAATTAATCACTCATATAAAGTTTTGGTCATTTGACCCACTCAAAATAATTTTTTTAACATTTTTCTGTTTATTAATTTAGCAGCCGGAAATCATATTTCACATGATAAATCATGTTCGTAGCACAAATGATGTGCAATAGTTTAGTGATGTTTTATCACCAATTATTTTTTAAAGCTAGTCCAAATTTAAAGTACAAAACTTTTAACTGTAGATCCATGTAGATCAAAATAAATTGGCAAAATGATTAGTTAAACTCTTAGGTGTCCAGTAAAATCTTATTGATGACTTAGATTTCATCATAATGACAAAACATTACACTGACTAGGTAAACTGACCTTGTAAACTAGAGCACTTTGGTTGCTCTATCTAATTAGATCAAGACATGGTTTGGCAATGTGAGAAAAAAACCCCCACAAGATAAGAACCACTAGAGCTCAGTCCACACTGATTAAATGAGGAGGTCTTTTAGTTCCAGATAAATAAATTCAAAAGACCTACATCTTTCAGTGAACAGACAATAGGCTAAATGAGAAGTGCAACAGATGTTACACAACATATTGACATTATGCTATTCCATGCTGTCCTGTCAAAGCCAACAGCCAGCTCTGACCTGTTCAAACATGTTTCAGAAGTATCTGGTGATGTCAAAGTCGGGTCATCATTGCTCTCTCTCTCTCGAGCTTAGGAAGTGCTTAAGGCAGCTTGGTACGGCGAGGTCATTCTGACATTCATTTTGTGAATTCCCAACTGAGCATGCTCCAGATCCGCACCTTTCTGATGCCTGCAGCAAATTACGTAGCGTGGATCATGGTGACCGATCATAACAGCAACTCTCTCTCTAAACAGCCCTGCTGCTTGCCCTTCATAAGGTGTGCATTTTCACAAGGATAATGCAGAAAACAACTTATGCATGGAAAGCTCCACTTCCCAGTTGCAAACACTTGTCCCAAGCAACAGGAGGCACTTTGGAAACCTGCTCCCAGTTGTCACATGTCTGTTGGTTTCCCCTTAAGGGAAATGGGTATTTAAGTTGTGTTTTCTCATGGATGTGTGTGTATTTTGGGGGAGAGTTGGCTTCTTTGCATGTGTTTTGCAATGACAGAAATGTGACAATCCACCCACCATATTATTGTATAGCTGTCCTAGATCCATGCATAAATACTCACATGAGTCAAACAGGTAGTCCCGCTGGACAGCCTGGACTATTAAAGTGGTAATGTTCTCTTAGTGAAAGGTTTGTGGGATCCAGCTGACCAAAATAATACAGGATGGTAAATTACATCATTACTGTAATTATCTCAGTATGTATTCCACCTCCGAACTTCCCTTAATTACATTAAGTGGAAACTTTTAGGTCATATTTGCCACCCGCTTGAAGGGCTCTAAAAAGTTGCCCCTGCCATCAGCTGTTCTCAGTAATTAAAGCCCTTCACCTTTAACCTCTACCCTCGGCTCCAGAAGTGTGTATTTTCTGCACCACTAGCATCACCAAACAGGTTTCCTTGTCTATTGGTTACTAAACGGATGACCTCACCCCCAAACTCACATGGGTGCAACAGTGCCTGCCCATTTTTTTCCAGCTAACGTGTTTCCAGAAGTATTTTTCCCATTCATTTTTTTCCATAAGGATTATTAAAAGGTCCTTTTTGAAAAACTACAAGGTCAATCACAATATTACAAACTTTGACTTTAAGCCCATAAAATCAGGCAAAAAGGCAAAGCTACAAGATTGTGTACTTATCAGTTTTAATGAGGGAAAGAACTACAATACCAGGAAGCATTACAAATGGCATAATTGGAAAAGTAAGAGCGATTGATTACTATAAAATGTAAGATGTAGTTTAAATATATATATATATATATAGAAACAATATATTTTATGTTAATTATAAAATATGCATATTATGCATCCAAAAAAGTAAGTAATTTGACAGCGTAGGAGAATGACTCGATTACGCCATTCACAGTGGTTCATGTGAGTTGGTGGAGATTTCTCAGAAGCATCATGGGTAATGTAGGTTTTGCACCAGGAATTCCGCTGTTGAACACAATAATTTAAATAATAATAATAAGAAGAAGAATCAGATAATGTGGATTTATGGCCTCAACAAGACCATTACACCATTAACATCCTTGTAGCTCACAGTAGGGTTGTCTTTATTTTATAAATGATCATTAAAAACCAATTCCGCTATGGAGAAAATAATTGTGATTTTTACTTTCAGAGCCCAGTGTTGCATTTTGGTTGCTGGTCACTCATACAAACAGATATGTTTTGACAGCACCACAGACCTACACTATTCACATTTTTGAGAGTAAATAACCTAATGATAGCTTAATGATAAATGCATCTAACAGAAGTATTATAACGTAAAAAAAAAAAAAAATAAAACATACGCAGCTTTAACTAGGAAATACTGTCACTCAACACGTTATTTAATCCCACCTATTTACAGTTTCCGGGTAGTAACAGAGTGGCCAATCATAAGGCTAGTTCCTACTGCTCGAGACAAAAACATAACGAGATTCGCAGAGCAGTTCATGACTTTACAAATATCTCAAAGAGTGTTTCATAATTTACTTTTTAATATGTAGACGTCATAATCGCACATAAGACAGAAATGAAACGACACGACCAAACAGTTCTGAGTGAGGACAGTGGAGGCAAGAAAACTTTCTTGGGCTTTAAAGGCAAATATATATATGCGGGTTTCTTTTGTTCAAAACAGCTCGACATAACTGCACTTCATAACAGAACTGCGTGTTCTAGATGCTTAGATAGACAAAAACCAAAACAAAACACTGACAGCACAGCCAAACCACATTACGAATAAAGGCATGTAACAGGCATAATAGCATGGCACTCTTGAGCAAAAGCGGACGGAAAACTCCAGAAAACTTTTGCTGTGTCAGTTGTTATATAAACTAAAGGAATTCTTATGGACTAGTGACATAGAGACAAATATCCGCACCCAACCACTGTAATTTAGCAACAACACAACTTCCCCTGTTCTTTAAGCTTTAAAATCAGAAAAAGAAAGATGGTAAATACAGGCTAAATTTCCTGTCAAAACATTTAACCCCCAAACATTCGACCTTAACAAAAGCCAGAAAAACAAGATGGATCCTCCATGCAAGAGAAAAACACATTCGGACAGGAATAATAAAATGACGCCGAATGTGAAGTTTATGTCATTTGTGATTTGTTATTATTTAAAGAGCATTTTAAACGTCTATATTTAAATCAACTATCTGTATGTGAAGATCTTGTTGTTTTCGTGTAATACAAATAAAACCCGTGGTAAAATGTCTTGAAAGGCCTACAAATGTCTATTTTGATTATAAAACGGCAACAAAAACAATCAACAAATAAATAAATAACTGGCTTGTGAGGTTGTGCTAGCTCGCTAGCAGGCCAAATGCATAGTAACATTCACCATTTTGTTCAAAAACACGTCTAGCTTTGTCAGATATCATATAAATATCGATATCCGATCGGTATCCATATAAATGTGTTTAAATCCCGTGGATGTCAAGCGTTGGTGTGGATTTGAAGAGAAACGCGATTACAAAACACTCAAAAGGACACAGAGCAACATGTCTGCTATAAATAATCCTCAAAACGTATGCCTTTGAACACTGTCAACGAACAAACCCCGTCTATAAAAATCACATTTCTGAGTTGAGTTGTGTTATTTGAGAAATGCACGTCTATGAATCTTGGCTTTGTTGCTAGCCGCACTGACAACAATCAAAACACTTTTGTCGTCAAAAGCTGATCACCATCCAATAAACCATTCTAACGTTACTGGCTTTGACAACTGTTTTTCAGACCAGACGGACGCCCAGAATGGGTTTAAAGCAGTAGGAGAAGCGTTTTATGGCTGTTTTCGTGAATACTGGAGATATTTGACGGCTATAGCGTTACAGTAATTGTGTTGTTTATATTTTAAAGGATACAGTTTCACCACGTCGGTGTCCATTCGTCTTTTGCCCGGACTTGGAGACGACATCTTTACACACTCCTCTTTCAGATGACCGAAGCTCAAATCTTCTGCGACTGATTCTCGATCCCTTGGCCTCTACCGAAACTGTATAATGTTGCACATTGGCATACGGCAAGCTGTCGTTTCGAGTTTTCGCCCTCCACTTTCCGTCCACAGCGAATACTGGTAGTCCTCTGCCCGCACTGCTCTCTCTCACAGATATCAATCCCTCCGCCGATGACGTCTTGTCGGCGCGACGAAAGGTGTCCTCCTCCTATGCAGTTTCGGGCGACGTCATAAACAGTGGACGACTCACATTTGTAGTATATTCGTAAAACTAGCTCTAGTCTAGGATGACAGTTGGGGGCACCGACTCCTTTGTTATGACGGCTGTTGTGTGCTATCGAACATATTTATTTTGTATTCATGTGTATTTGTTTTTATGATCATTTTTGGTACTAAATAAATATGAAAAGGCATTTTCCCCACTTTTTTTAAAGGAACTAATAATATAGCATTTTACAAGCCATAGGAGTCAAAGGTTCAAAATCCATTTAAGACAACATACTGAAAAAAAACATACATGGTGAAAACCAGCAAAAGGAAAGTGTTTATTAAATTCAGGCAGACATGCACGATTAACATGCATGATGCACTACAAGCAGCACTCCCAGAGAAAGTGATTCAAAAGCAAAATCATTTACATTGGCACTGTTTTCTAATGCATCTATTTCACTGGCATGTGGGTAAAAGATGATAAAGGTGATACACATCTTTAAAAAATGAGAGAGATAAAAATGTTGTTGTACTCATTCACATTTATGGAAGTAAATATAATATACCTACTTAGACAATGCAGAAGAAACACACAAAAACCTGAAAACACTGGTTCTCCTCAGCTAAACTATTATGTGAAAAGCACTGATTCAACTAGCATGTCTTCCAGTGTAGTTCTAAGAGCTTCACTAAAGCTTCCCTAAATTTAGGCTAAAACCCTATGAAGCCTCATGTCCAGTGAGGCAGCGAGGACTATTTGGCTGCCCATGTGAAGTAAAGAGCATCGGTCACCAGTCTGTTGATGTTCTAATGCGACTGGACAGGCCCAGATTCAAAACAGTGTGGTAAAGTTACAATTTCTGAGAAGAACTCTGCCGGGCTTTCCTGCTCCAAGCCAAGGTCTTTCATCACAGGCCGCTTGATCCGTGTGGATTTACTGTCCCTTTCCCAACCAAACCCAATACTTTAAACAAGATTCACTTGACCAAGAAGCACTCTGAAAACTACTGTCATTGTTACAAAGGACAGCATACCACTATGATAACAATCACCAGGGTTTCCCAGTCCACCTTCTGAAACACAACTTACTGGCATGGGGAAGATACCTGCCACTCTCGGAATATCGAGAACACCCTTTTTGATTTGTCATGAGGACCCTGGATGGAAAAAAAAAATGGGGCATTAGAGGGATGAAAAATGATTGCAAAATACCAAAGTACAGAGTTGTCGTATTTGGTTCACCTGGGATGGACTGGTCCCTACTGGACTGAGGCTTCTCTTCATGGATAGAAACAGAGTAAGCACTGCTTTCCAGCCAGGCTGAGGGAGCTCAGCCTCAGAGCCAACAAAGACAGAGCCATCTAGATTGCCCTCCTCTCTTTCCACACTCACCCAAGGACACCAGTCTCTGTGCTGGGCTACTGGGTCAAAAACATTTCTGTGCATCGGCCCTTCCTATAATAGAAAAACAAAACAGGCTTTAGTGCTTCGATATGGTATTTAAAATTCAATAGATTTTGTCCAGGTAAGTAAAAGACACATAAAATGTATGTAGTAATATTATATTGTTCTATAGTAATAATAACTTTATATACAGTAATAATAGTAAGAGACCCTGTGTGTGTGTGTGTGCATATATAAGAAATAGAGTACATATTGAGTTATGCAGACAAATAGAATGTATTTAATAATATAATATTCTACAATCATACAGTAACAATATAGTAAATTATTATTATTATTATTATTATTATATTAAAAAAATTATAATGGATTGTCCTTACAGGGCCACTGGCAGAGGAGAGACGTGGGCGTTTTGTCTTTCGCTGTGGACTAGAGGGCACATCCACAGCCAGGTTTTCTCCTTGGCCCCTGCTGCGAGTCATGGGTCTCTTGGCCCTTGACAGGGGGCTGGGAAACTCCTCATGTGGAATAGGCGAGTCCCTACTTCTGACGCGGAGGACCAGTGGGGATGGTGTACTCTCCATCTATATGCATAAGTCAATGTTGACAAAGTTTAGATGGTTATGACTGAAGAACATCAGCTGAATTTAATGGGCATATGATTATGTTTACATGGAAAGTTTATACTTCAAATTTTACTCTATATATATTGTATAACTTCAAAATGTAAATGACCCACCTGCTCAGAGCGTGTGGGGTCTTGACTACGCAGCTTCATGCGACATGGAGTGGGGGACTGGGATGGTGAGGTGGGCATCCCCTTTTCCTCACTTGTGCCTAGAGTTGGAGTCAAGGCAGTAGTAGATGTTGGAGACTGCGGAGGATTTTCGCTCTCTGAAACAGTCTCCATTTGATAGAAGTTCCACATTCCCACCTTTCTCATGCAGTACGAACAAGTGAGGATGGGCAGATTCATAGCTTGGAGTGACGGGCTAAATAGAAACACAGCAAAGAGTTACGTGAAATAAAAGTTTAGCAGAAAATTTGCCAAGATTACATCAAAGGTCACTGATTGGATTTTACCTGGCTGCCCAACCACAAAGAGCTACGATACATGCTGCCACCAGTACAGAGAGTGGATCTGATGAGACCTTAGAAGGAGAACCACACTGCTTCACTTGTTCATCTTCAATCAGCTGTAGGAGAACACTTATTACATCTTCAGTCAAGGTCTGAGGTAAAAAAAAAAAAAATTATGAATGCATAGAATCATTATTCTTGGACTTCCCTTTAAAAATATAACATCATACCATGGCTTTAAGTTGCTCTGGTTTCATAGCAGGCAGCTGTTGTTCTAGAAGGCAAGCACTTTTGAAACGGTCTAGAAAGGTACTGAGTAATACCGTAGGCTCATTAATAGGAACCATCCAGAAGCGATCTGGGAAAGAAACAACACTATTGACTAGCAATGTCTGCTTAAGATTTCAGACAGACTAGTGGACCTCTCAAGATACCTGGACATGGAAAATCCGGCCAGGAACAGAATTTCTCATGTTGCGTTTGAAGCTGCTGTAGCAACTCTGAAATCCGTCCTTCATCTAAAAAAGAAAAAAGAAATAAGTGAATGTGTGCAGATACAAAATATGGCTTCACTCTAGAAACATATATTCTATAAATAGAATACATACATACATACATTCATGCATACATACATACATAGTATCTCACAGAAGTGAGTACACCCCTCACATTTTTGTGAATATTTTATTATATCTTTTCATGTGACAACACTGAAGAAATTACACTTTGCTACAATGTAAAGTAGTGAGTGTACAACTTGTATAACAGTGTAAATTTGCTGTCCCCTCAAAATAACACACAGCCATTAACGTCTAAACCGCTGGCCACAAAAGTGAGTACACCCCTAAGTGAAAATGTCCAAATTGGGCCCAACGTGTCAATATTTTGTGTGGCCACCATTATTTTCCAGCACTGCCTTAACCCTCATGGGCATGGAGTTGACCAGAGCTTCACAGGTTGCCACTGGAGTCCTCTTCCACTCCTCCATGACGACATCACGGAGCTGGTGGATGTTAGAGACCTTGCGCTCCTCCACCTTCCGTTTGAGGATGCCCCACAGATGCTCAATAAGGTTTAGGTCTGGAGACATGCTTGGCCAGTCCATCACCTTTACCTTCAGCTTCTTTAGCAAGGCAGTGGTCATCTTGGAGGTGTGTTTGGGGTCGTTATCATGTTGGAATACTGCCCTGCGGCCCAGTCTCCGAAGGGAGGGGATCATGCTCTGCTTCAGTATGTCACAGTACAGGTGCATCTCAATAAATTAGAATGTCGTGGAAAAGTTCATTTATTTCAGTAATTCAACTCAAATTGTGAAACTCGTGTATTAAATAAA